AAAACCCATTTTGACTGCCGTGCGGCGTAGTTCTTTTTTCTAAATTTTTTTGTCAAGGAATAGGAAACTTCACGGTGAAACAGATCTAACTTGAAACTAATAAAGAGAGAGAAGAATCTAATAAATGCGCCCTTTGTTCATCACTTCATACTTTTGGGGACGGGGAGCAGGATTTGTTAATGATTATTCGAAAATATTAATGAATTCTTACTTTATTAATTATCTTCACGTTAAAGCTACATTGGATGTTATCGGTTATCTTTGGCTTGACCTTGCCGGCTGACCGGGGCTCGCGGCGCGGGGGTGCCTGCTTAGACATAGGGACCGGCCGAGTTCCCTTTCGTATGAATGGCCCCTCGGTTTCTTCCTCGCGCAGAGGTGTCAAATCATAGGTACGCGAAGGGGGCGGGGGCAATAGTTTGCAAAGCGGAAGAGGGGGGCGAGGCGGACGTGGCGCGGGTGGCGCGGCCCTAGGAAGGCCTGGATGAGAAGACCGGGACTCGGGGTCGTCCCTAGGAACCTCGAATACTGACGGGTCGAACTCCCCGTGTTCGAAGAACACCTGGCGTAGCTGGTCTACTTGCTTCTTGCGACCGCCCCTCTTAGACCGTTTTCTCTTTAAAAATACGAGTGCCGAGAGTGAAACGAGGGAGAATGATTTTTAACCTAGTTCCCCTGATCTGCCCCCCCCCTTTCTTTTTATATATTTTTACCAGTATCGGTACTTCCGGTAAATCTCCATAGGATCCATGGTGTTAGTGCCGAGCGGAAAGATATTAGCCGTGCGATAGGAGAAGAAAAAAAGAAAAAAAAAGGAAATATAGAAGCCGTGCGAAAAGCGTGAATAAGTCTGCGCGGAAAGAAAATTTTAGTCGGTTGCGTTTCCTCTTTGAGGGAAACAGGGGGGAGGTGTGGAACGCCGATTTTTCAGCGCCTAGTGGAGACGGCAGAGGGGAGGAAATTTGAGAAAGAGAGCGTGGAACGCTTGCTTAACAGCGCCTCGGGTAAGCGTGGTCAGAGGGGGGGGGGGTAAGGTAGAAGCACTGAAGGTGGTGCTAATAATAATTTGCAGCCCGCATTCCTTGGTTCGGGAAGGTAAACGGGAACGCTTAACAGCGCCTTAATAAGGAGAGGGTAGGAGGTGAGGAGTAGAGCTGCGAGGGGTAGCGTGACTAATGTGAGAGAGAACGCCGGATGTCCAGCGCCTTATGGGTAGGGGAGGCAGGGTGGAAGTGTTGAAATTGCAGCGAGGTTATATGTCTTACGGAGAGGGGGGTGAGATGGAACGCCGGATGTTTAGCGCCTTATAAGGAGGGAAGGGAGGAGGTAGGGGTGAGGTGCGAAATGAGAAGGCTTAGTGGTGAAGTTAAAGCCTTTTAATTTTTACTTCGTCTTACGTACAGAGACGCGGGGTCTGATCGTCGGCGCCGATTCAGACAAGAATGATCTCGAGTGCCGAAATTGGCTCGCTTATATACGCGCAGCTTGGTGGCTGAGGCGTGAAGAGGGGCTATATTTCCGGGAAATTGGGAAATATTATTTAATCTAAACCGTTAATTATTTCCTAAATTATTGGTCGAATCGGTACGACACTTGACATACAATATTTAATGTACTTTCATGTACTGCAAGCGTCAATTTCCAAATTAAAACGGTTTAGGAGTAATTTAGAGCAACGAGATTTTCAGTTTTTATACATGGGTTTCGCTATGTCCCATTCATGGGCTTCGCGGAATTCGTGTCGCGCGTCCGTCGTACCGCGCGCGCATACCTTCCTCACGCGCAAGTCATGTAGTGGGCTCTACCCATCTCGTTAACGCTGTGCTATGATCTATCTTAGATAACGGCTTAGATTACCCTTTCGCGAAATTTTATATTATGTTTTTATTAGGGGTATCAGAATGGTGCATACGAGACTCGTAAGAGATCTCGATGCACCCGATCATCACTTAATCCTATATATAAATGAAAAAAAAGGGAAAGAAAGAGAAAAAAAAGTTAAGAATAAAATAAAAGATTTTTAATCGAACGCTCTCAGTCACCAAGCAATGTATACAAAAAGAAAAGAAAAGAATATATTCGCAATAATCAGTATAATGATATATACGCATGATGTGGTACTTACAATTTATATAATGAAAAAAAGAAAAAAGAACGAAAAGGAAACATAACGTACAAAAATAAAAAAAAAGAAAAAGAAAGAGAAACGGAAACGTATTAAAGAAACAAGAGATAATAAACGAAAAAGAAAAGAAAAATAAAAAAAAATGAGAGCATACGCATATGCGTCGGACGCGACATAAACTATGTAAAAGGTTATATTGCGTCAGTAATTTAATAAGAATTATTATAAAATTTAAAATAAAAATCCAATATTTATGTATTGATATTGATAATATCAATATTTCTGCGGACGATATTTACAAGTATCAAAATTAGACTCCTCGATATGTGTCGATTCGAAATATCAATACTGCTGATATGTATTGCCCCTCACTACCCTGCATCTCCTGGCATGAAGGAAAGAGCTAGTCGCACCGCCGCAAAGGGCCGTATTACTCAAAACATAAAAAAATTTGTATATAGTCTGTAAATATATTAAACGAAAATCGGCTCTTGTCATTTTACATCACCACAGCGCTATCCAAATTTCTCTCTGCGAGCGAACAAGTGAGGGAACGAGCAAGCATAGCAGCGGCTCGTCAGCCCTCTCATATAACATTAAAAAACCGTCTTTATAATGTCTTTAAGACAGCTTTTCGACATACGTTGTCCATATTAAATATAATATATATGGTATATATAATATTTAATATGGACAACGTATGTCGAAAAGATGATAACATGTATTCATATTCGATTCAGCGCATATACAATTTCCTGTGCGTGTCGCAAGGCGACGCGCGGCGCCACCGACTGGGCCCGACGATACGGACACGCGCGCGCGGCGTGGATGGGTGCACCGGCTTGATGCGCGAGCACGGCGAGCGGGCCGCTGCTCGTAGCTACGCACGTGGGGATTTAAATACCCGAAACATCAGGCGTCGTTAATACGACCGAATCCAGGGAACGTTCAGAAGGGAACGAGGAAAGCGACTCGCCCGAGTAACACTCGGATCGAAGTATTGCTTCACCCTATTATCGCCTTTCCGCGTATAGGTAGGTGAAGTGGCTCCTGCTGAGGAACGCTCAGTCAGGAGTAAAGAAGCGCTCTACTCTCGGGTCTTCGTTGCCGCTTTAATGCTGGGTGCAAGGATGCCTGCGAACTGTAACTTTACTGAGAAGCGTTCGGGCCGAGGCAAAGTAGCGCTTTACCCTGGTGTAGTCGGTTCGCAGAACGGTCAGGAACTGGTGATTATCACGGTTTTGGGGACCCTTTTATACACGGCGATGAGGTCTTTCACCTCCCCTCTTCCGTGACAATTTGCTAACACGATTTAACAAATTTAGCACTCGGTCGTGATCGGTGCCGTGCGGAGGTTTCCGGGCCGTTTGAATTCTGGCGACAACGTTTTTGTCGGCTGGCTTTAAGTTGCCAGCCGACTTTCTATTGAAAG